GCAAAGATCCATCAAAAATAATCTCGGGAGCAATTTCCTAAGCTGCTATTATTTCTGTTTGTAAATCTTCTTCCAATATTGTTGAGACAGTTTTCTTTTTTCCTAAATATAGCACTCCCTTATTGTTACATTTTGTCCTCCTGAAATAGATCTTGCTTACTGAAAGCAATATTCAGTGAAGGGTTTAGTGTGCATGTATTTTATAGCTGCAATAGAAACTTACTTGCCTCTGAGCCGATCATCATTTTTCTGAGACATTTGCCACAATCAAGAAAACAAGAAGAAGAAAAAAATGCAATTGCAAAGCAGGGAGCTTCCTAAAGCAGAAGTTTTCTTCAAATTGCAACAGAGGAAAAAAGGAATCCTGGGAATCTTGGAATGTTTGATATTATTTCTTTCATAGTGCTGTTGTAAGATAACTAATAAAAGCATTCAGGGAAATGGGAAGAGGGAAGGTAAAATTTCTTTGTGCGTTTGTACAGATATTTCCACACTTTCTCCAAAGTAGAGTTATTGTTGCAATTGTTTGAAATAAATTCCTGATATCTGAATTATCAACATGCACTCAGTGTATTTTATGAAAAATGTTATTTTAGAATACAAAGAGTAACCATATCTCACTGTCATGCATAAGCTTGAACGTCCATTTACCATTTTCCTGTAAGATAAACCACAGATAAGAGGCAGAAACATAGAAGAGGTTATATCTGTTCAGGACATTACCAACAAAAGCAGATGTGGGTTATTTGTCTATGAACTGTTTGCAGATGTGGATGAGAAATATTAAAATGTAGAGGTGTGACTACTATCCTGGAATAAGTGGTGAAATTTAATATAATGATGCGTCTCTGTTCTAACCTACCTGTCCCATATGCCATGTTGTAATAACAAGTTAGGAAAAGTTCTAAGTAGTCAACAATCTACTAATAAGGAAGCCAGTTCTGCCAGCTAATTGGAAACCTATAAAAATTACTCTAGTGAAGAAGAAAAAAGTTGATCCTTAACCAATATGTACAAAAAATCCTTCCTAAGTCCCATAAATAGCAACCAGTAAATAAACATGACTTCAGATGAACTTGATATTAAATATTGTTTTGAAATCTTTTGATGAGGTCAATCTTCAGACTTTTGCATGACCTCCATTATTACAAGACTGTTTTCTTGCAAGACTAGAGAATGCAAAGTTGCCTCTTCATCCTTCCATAATTCTTTCATCTTCATAATAGTGGTTCCTGGAGACTTGAGGGCTCATATCCATTAAATTGTAAAAGAAAACCTATTATGGGATCATTTAAAGGGGATGCATCAAATTATCCCAATTCCACTTACTTTATGAGTTGTATAAATATGAGCACTATTTATTTATAATTTTAGTTGCAGCACTCATTCAAGACTGGATCCACACATGCATTATAACCCATTCAGATATGTTAAGAAAATTCAGATATGTGTGTTAATCGCACAGGCAGGTGGAACAAAGGCGATGCCGTTTACATTTTTAAACTCCAGAATTGGGAGAAACACCATATAGGTTTTAAATGAATTTCTTGTACATAAATAACCTTTAAAGTCAATAGGACAATGCAAACAATGGAGAGGAAATTATAGAAACAGTGGCAAAGGGAACATCTTGAAGGGCTTTAATGATTGGGAAAGTGAGCTATTAGCAGCAATTAAGGACAATACTCCAACTAGGTCCTTATTGAGTTACAGACCTTTAACACGCCTTGAAAAGTGTAAATAGGAAGAAATCCAAGCAATGTATACTCCTAGTCAGATAAAGTCAATCTTAATTGAGTTCCATCTGAAAGACTTAATTTCTAAAGTATCTCCTAAGTGGCAAGGAAGGATCCAGCAATGTTGAGGATGTATTAAAGTAACCATGGAAAAGGAAGGAAGACAATTCAAAGATAGAGGAGTAAGGCAGAAGAAAAATAAATAAATAATAAATATAGCAATGCAAGTAGCACAGCAATGAAAAGAAAAGGTAAAACAAGGGGAAATGTGGGCTTTCCTTCTTAAAGCTACAATAGCAAGAATAAAATCTAACTAAATGTTAACTGCTTTAAAAAGCAGAAATATACATTTTCTACAGCAACTGCCTCATTTATAAAATAGGAGGTATGTTTCAAATATTTCTCCAGATGTGTTTTTTTTCCTTCAAAGATCCCTTTTTCCTGGTTTGGACAATTTTATGTTTTCGTGTGCTGCTGAGCACAATCAAATAGATAATCCTATCCATTCTGATTGTGGGATGCCAACAGACAAAGCCAAGGAATTTTCTAATATAAACTACAAGATATAAATTCTAGACAGGGTCTTCCCATAAGATGATAGGGACTAAGGAATGAACCAAAGGCTAGGGAGAGGCCAGGCCACACATAAGCAGAAAAAGGATTTTCTTTCTTCATCAAGTGCATAGAGATTATGGTTTGAGCCTAAAGTGAAAAATGAAGCAGAGCAAGAAATGCATAGCCTTTATCATTCTTGTCATTTGTGTCTTATACTTGCTCTTTTGAAACAGCAGATATTGTCCTGCACTGGTTACCTGTGATCATTATTACAGCTGCTGAACTTTGGAAGACTTCTGGTGTTGCAATTCTCTGTACTAGTGGGTTGATTCCTATATTGCTTCCCTTTGGGTGGATGTAATCATGAAGGTAACCATAAAATAATGGATATCCACCATGTCTGATTCCTCACTTCTTCCTTCTAGCACTAGCAATAGCACAGACCTATATAACTTTCACAGTGCTTTACAGCCCTCTCTAAGAGGTTTACAGAATCAGCATATTGTCCCCCAACAATCTGGATCCTCACTTTACCAACGTCAGAAAATGGAAGGCTGAATAATCTTGACCAGTAAGACTCGAACTGCTGAACTGCTGACAGTCGGCAGTCAGCAGAATTAGCCTGCAATGCTGCATTCTAACCACTGTGCCATCAGCAGTCCATTCATTCAAGTCCTACAATTCCTGCTGGTGATTTTCTCCTTCATGTTTTTCTTGTTCAAAACAATGACTTCTGCCATCTAACCCAGACATAAAATAACCAAGGTGGAGGCAAATCTATGTCTCAAGAAAAGGATTGGAAGGATACAACATCCAGTGACTGTGGAGGGTCTTCTGTTGTTTGTTTTATTTTCATTGTATTGATCAAATTTTGAAACTGTCCATGCCCCTCACCGAGGGACTCTTGATTATATACAGATAAAATATTAAAAGAAAAATGTTATATGAAGGTAACAGCCTTTGTTGGTTTTCTAATTCTTGAAAGATAATGAGAGTTCAACGTGGCAATGGAAATGGACACCCAAGGTTCTCATGTGTCTATCCTCTACAGCTGTACTGAAAGGAGTGGTTGTATATCTTGATCTGGGGAGAGGGGAGTGAGAAAAAAGGGAGTGCGGTGTTTTCTCTCCATTGTATTTTTTTACTGGATCTGAAGTTCTCTCTTACCTGTCTTTCTAGGGACTTGCAGAAACTCTGCAAGGGAGACCATCAGACTGGTAGATGGGTTTGGCTATATCCGATGTTATTCACTTGGAATGTGGCTATCTGTCCCCAATTCCTGCCTCAGTGCAGTGTACTGAACTAGTTAAGTCTGGGTGTTAGCAGAGGATGGAATACAGATTATTATGATCAAATCATTTGTATTCCATGATTTTGAACTTTCCTAGATGCATCTGATTGGCCATTATTAGAAAAGGACTGCTGAACTGAATAGGACCAGCAGGCCTGCTCTAATGGTCTTAAGAGAGTGGCCAAAGAAATTGAACGGATGCCTGGACTTATTTTTTTTTTTCTGACTGTATCTTCTCCCAAGCGTAATCTGAGGTATGGTAGCAAGTTTTGTTTTTCTGTAAACATCATTTTTCTTCAACACCTGAGTTAAAGATCGAAGCAAAGATACTTTATCAGAGTCTCGATTCACAGGGCTAATTGCCTGGATACAAGGAGAAAGACTTGGGGGGGTGGCAGGCACCAAGGCAGAGACCGTTCTAGATAAATACTGCCATTTTTAATGGAAATGTTGCCAGTCTGCTAAGAGCCTTAGAAACTACAGAATGCTTTAAAATGATGTCATGATCTAAGGGGTTTAGTCTAGAAATAGAGAGAGGCCATGCCTAGTCAATTACTTGGCAGAATTTTATACACTACCAGCCTTGTTTCAGCCACTTCACAAAGCATCTCTTGAGAAGGAAAACAAGTTGGTCTTTGTAAATAAAAGTTCATGCAATTGCATAATGAAGCCATTTTCTAAATCGGTAGTGAATGAATTTTTTTTTTAAGCGATCAGATTTGATGAGAAGAAATGGGGAAAAGGAGAATCTAATAAAGAGTGTTAAGATGCCCGTTTTCTAGCAAAGTCTAAGACTTCTTGGGTACTTGATTTCATCTTGAAGTTTTCAAATGACAAAAAGAACATCGTATCTCCGTATCCTCCTTCTGACTGTGGGTCTACCCATCTCAAATTTTCCATGCCTGTGATACTTTGAAAGATATCCTGTAAGCTAGCCATCGTTGGCAAGGTCTTATTAAGTGTTGAGCAGGAGATGTGAGAGGAAGCGTGGGGAGGTCTGACTTGAATGCTGCGTGGGTGGCTCTCAAGCTGGAAGGGGAAAGGGGAATGACGATCCTGAAAAAGTTGGCGGAAGCCAGAGCTTTGAATCCAGACTCAGCCTGTATCCTGACTGAGGGGAGATAAGGTGGCAGCGCAGCTCGGGCTGCTTTCCTGGAATACAATCTGCATTTTGACACTCTCTGTTAAGCACTGCCCATCTGTATGTTATTCAGCCAGAGCCTCCAGGGAGAAAGAGGAACTCCAGACTCCGAAAGCCAGTGAGAAAGAAAGCAAAGGCACTCACTCTTCTGAGAAGGAACTGTTGCAAATTGACTTAGCAGTCCCACATCTGGAAGCTGATACTTAAAATAACCGAGGCGCCACTCGAGCAAGTGGGCCGGGGAGGCAATTAAAGCAGAAGCAAGAAGCAAGAAACTGGAAGATCCCTGCTGAATGTAAAGGGAGGAGATGGCTTTGATCTTGGCCTGGACCCTGATTTTTCCTATATTCTCCTTCCTGGGATGTTTCTCCTTAAGCTCAGCTTCGGCAGAGGACAACGCTTTTCATTTTGACACTGAAGAGAGCTCAGCCCACGGTAGCCAAGACAATAGCCTTCTCAGAGGGCAGCAGCAAGCTATAGTTTTTACAAGCTGGTCGCATTTTGCTGAGGTACAGTCACTCTCCTGTCTGTTGACCTTTCTCCTCCTTTGTATCCTTTCTCTCATATTTGTTTAAGACTTCAAACGGGTAATACAAATGTCCTCCACTTGAAAGCAGAAGTGTGGGGCTAGGAAGATTGTAAAGCTTTTTAAATGCTGCTAGAAAAGATTCCCTTTCAAATTCCAAAGTGCATCTCCTGGTGCAGTACTGTACTGCAAATTCAGGTTAGCTGGCTTGGCTTTTCATGAAAAAAAAAACAATAACTTGGCCTACCAAAGAGTTTCAAGTAAACTAACTTACAGTACCACTTTCCCTTTGAAAGAGAAGTTTGTACTTGTGTTGAGATTGAGGCCTCTGGAATTGCAGAAAGATTTGAGGAAAGAGTTATTGGTTTGTCAGGAGAGAAAAAAATAAGTTAAATAACAAAATCTGATGATTTCACTGTCTTTGACAGTAAGGATTTGTTTAGTTGCATGAATATACAGTTCATCCCATTCATTTCGGTTTGAACACATAGTCCCATGATCTATGTGAATCAATTGACCAGTAAAAGTTATTATATTGTTTAACTGCAAAATATGTATTCTTATGAGAAAAGATCTATTTTCCTTGTTTTAACTTGAGTATTTCTTGATTGTTACAATATTCTTATTTTTCTCAGCCAAAATCTTTATTAGGGTTGGTATCACCATGTGATTAACCTTCAAAAATTCCCTTAGAAACAAGGGAATATACCATATCCACTATGGTATAAAAGAAAGGACTTTGCACATGAAAAGGATGTGTGTACAGGACTGCATGCTCCTTAAATACAAATTAGGAACACCAATGAAAATAAGGCTTTGTATTATGGTTCTATGATTATATCACATGGGTCTATTCTATTCTCCCAATTTGGAAGTATAATGTTAGAAGTAGTTATATATCCTACTGAGTAGAATTCAAAACTGTAGTATGGTACAGAACCTTAGCCTATAGACTTTGTGTTACACCTAGAGGAATGTTTGTGCGCAACCTCATCAATACTTCATTTGCTTGTTTGGAAGTCATTGTCACAGAGTTCAGGACTTTTGTCATAACAATTGTTTTCTAAGTGTAAGTTCATAACACTCAACTTTAGAAAATAAATGGCTGAAGACCATCTGCAGCAAAATGTTCTTCTACCTTTATGAAAATAAAGAGTGTACTTTAATGACATAAAATTATAAGTATTTACTCAAGAAGATGTAAAATGTATGAGATAATGATAATGAAGTAGGTTTTATTTCCATCTTGGATACTTGTCATTGATTGATTTTGGTGTAAGTGTAATTCACAGCTGAGGTGGGAGGGGAAAACACAACTTGACTTGGGTGGGAGAAACTATATCCTGTAACAGTGATATTGTGTAGGAGGCAAATTAAGACAGAGAGGTCATGGGAAAGAAGAGAATTTGGACAATAACCTAGAAAGTGTGCAGAGCTTAGCCCAAAATGAATTCCCAGGATTGAAGCATTGGTTCATTACTACCGTACTAAATTTAACAGATACATGTATAGCAGGTTTTAAATTGAACATCTTGGTTTGCAGCTAAGCTTTCTTTGAACCAGTATTTAGCAAAAGAAGAATTTATAAAAATATATTATTGTTGTCATTGTAGTATTTTCCACAGTTTGAATTTCTTATTTTCATGAATAAGAAATTCTTGTGAAATCCTCGATACTCATGTTCAGAAGAAAAAAAAAGACCTCTAAAATCTGACAAGTAGTTGAACAGGAACTCCAGCTTAAGATTATATTAAATAGATGCATTGCTATAAGTATACCCCTCCCAATGCTGGATGCAAATTGCATACATTTGTTAGTATTTGCCAATAGCCATTAAAAATGGAATACCTTATTTTTTTATTGAGTAAAGTATCTGCTCAAATTTATTAGTATGCCTTATCAGAAAAAATACATTTATTTATTCATTTTTATCTTGCCTTTTTGCTCTAGCAAGCATTCATAAAAGAATGCTCATAAGAGAATATATGGGACAGTGACTCAATCAAAAATCAAAGACCAAAACTTATGCTTAACTTCTTTCCCCCGGGATCAATACATTTACTGCTTGATTGGCTGGGTGAGGTAGAAATAGCAAGACCTGAACATCTTAGCTCACAAAAATCCCCTAAATGGATGAATAAGATTAATTTGGGTTTCCTATCCCTGCACATTTTTACATTGGGTTAGGCTTCACCACAAATGTTTACTTTTAAGGAATTGCAGCCAAGCAAATATTTTTCTGCCAGCACCAGGCACTGCTTTAGTTGGAAATTAAATCTGGGTCAAGTTAATATCCACATCTCTGTACAGTATAGGCAAGCCCTTAATACTATAGGCAAGGAAGAATAAAGATGCAGTCTAAGCAGAAGGGCTTATTATTTCCATAGGAAATTTTAACCATACATGTTTCTCTAGGAAATCCAGTGGAAATTTGCTTTTAATTTGTGCTTTTAATTATTATTAACTAAATACATGCATCCTATTAATATTTAACATATATATTAATGTCTTCACAAACCATACTGTGCACAGAAAGTTTTCTCCAGTTAATTGGGTTTTTAGATTTTTATTTTTTTTTACTTATTTAGGTGTCTTTAAGTCAGTTTTGACTCTTGGCAATTACTCTACAGTTTTCTCAGCTACATTTTTGAAAATGTCTTGCCATTGCCTTCTTCCTAAGGCTGAGAGGGAGTGGTTGGCCCTGCTGGCTTTGTACCTAAGGGAGAACTAGAACTCAAAGTTTTTTGGTTTCGAGCCCAATGCTCTCAATTTGAATTTATAATACAAATTTTATTAGTGACTTTGATTGAATGACTTAGAAAAGCATTATGATGCACAATTATATCCTCAAAGATTACTAGCCCCAATGCAAGGTAATTGTCATTGCTGAATGACAGGTGATCTCCAACTGAGCATCTGGGGGTCCTCCTGAACCGATAACTCCTGCTCAAAGGGAAGGTGGCAACTTTGACCAAGGGGGAGATTGGCACAGCTCCATCTGGTGCACCAGTGCACAAGTTGTGTGGCTTCGTAGATCAAGAGGCTCTAGTTACTTTGATACTTGACTACTGCAATGTTCCTTACATGGGACTGCCCTTGAAAACTATTCTGAAGCTTCAGCTGGTCTAGAAAATAGTGCTCAGGGATGATGCTCCATTATGCCCACATAACACTTCTGCTCAGCAAGCTGCACTGGTTGCTAGTATTCGTCTGGGTGCAATTCAAAGTTCTAGTTATTACCTATAAAGCCCTACATGGCATGAGCCAGGTTACTTGAGGGACTGACTATTTCCCAAGGTTTCTGCCTGTCATAGAGCTTGCTCGTGGCCCTCACCCCGATAGCATTCAGTAAAGCCTTGAAGACTTGGCTGTTGTTCCAGGCCTTGGATTGAGATGGGCTCCTTGATGGATTCATCTTTCTTATTTTTCTTTACGTCTCTATATAGTGATGGGATCCCATCTTGTTTTAATTTGTATTGGATTTTTATGGTAATATATTGTGAGCCACTCAGAGTTATGGTATTTAGCACATTCTGTGTGCTAATTATAAACTAATTATTCCTTAGTTTCATTATCTGGATTGTTTCTGGATCCTGTCCTCTGGATTATCCTTTGGCCCTGATTTGCTCTCTTTCATCCTGCTTGTTCTTCACCCCTAATAAGCTGGAAAAACTCTTGGATGATCTAGCATCAATAAAGCTCATTCTACACATTCATGAACTCCATATAATTAGTTTACCAGTAGATTATCAGATGATGATGATGGTGGTGGTGGTGGTGGTGGTGGTGGTGGTGGTGGTGGTGGTGGTGGTGGTGGTGGTGGTGGTGGTGGTGGTGATGATGATGATGATGATGATGATGATGGTGATGGTGATGGTGATGGTGATGGTGATGATGTTATCCATTCACTCATGTCCAACTCTTGGCAATTCTATGGGCCAGGTCTCTCCACATCTTCCAATTTTGCACTACTTCTTGGAGTTTTTGAGTATTCTTTGGCTGGTAAATTATCCTTTAGTAGTAAAAATTAATCCTACTGTATTAGTTAATAATAGTATTGAACTGGAAACATTAAAGTTGCATCCAAAGCTAACTATCAGTCCTGGTTTGTATTAGAGGTGACATTGCTGGACAAGTTGCTTAGCATATAAGCATATGCAGAGTACCATAGATATTTAAAAAAAAGAGAGATACCATTGTGGTACCATAATGTACTTTGCATTATTTTGGTGTCATTGGATTCCTGCCTCACCAAGGCTCACGTCCTAGCAAAGTGGAATTAGAATTTTGTTCACTCTGCATTTTCTTTTTCTTGCTGTCAGTTTTTCTTCTCTATGAACAACTGTTATAGCACCTTCTATTTATTTTATTTTATTATTTAATTTTATTGATTTACATGGTCATACAACTCTGGTGTGGCATACAACTCTGGTGACTAATAATGATGATAAAATCATAAACAGTAAAACAAAAGATCATATATATCTATTCATCTATGTAATCCCCATATTCCAACCTTACTATCCAACAGTCAGAGGAAAAAATAGTTCTTTTTAGCTATCCAAAAGGTTAAGAAAGTGGGGATCTGCCAAAAAGCACCTTGGGACAACCATGACCTGGATGACTGAGAATCTCCATAGACACTTAGCTATGCACTTTGGGTTGAACACCCTTCGAATGGTGAGGAGTATGAACAGATTTCCAGACAAACATTGCAGACTACAGGAACCATTTGCACTTCAATTCGAGATGCAGACATTACAGACTCATTCCCTACAGCCTGTGCCTGTCTTCAACAGTGAAGGGACTCAGGGCAGAAAACATCCTGCAGCCAAGAAGGCTCCACACACATTTGCACTACTCAGGTGACCCTGAGGACACAGGTAAACCTCCAAATGGCCTCAACGACTCTCTCAAAGAATGCAAATGACCAGCTGTCTGCAAGGAATATGAATCCTTCCATTCCCCACTATCTAGTTAGAG